CCCCCCCCCCCAAGTTTGGTCTACACAAGGCAAAAGGGAAGGTGCCAGGCTCCTTATAGAGCACGTACTTGCAGATACCCCAGAGCTGCCCCGGCAGACAGGACCTGGCCGGCACCCTGAGCAGCTGAAACCTCAGCGGGAAGGCTAGTGGCTTTGGTAGGCCAATCCCAAACTACTCAGAGGCTTACAGGCCACCTCAGACCAAGTGCAGATCCAGGACAACACCGTTAACCTGCTCCCGGCAACAGAAAAGGCCACTCTACCATATGCTTGAAGAGGGAAACGCTCCAGCTGACAACAGGCAAAACTCTTAGGACTGGAGAAAACATCCAGCCAACTATCCCACCACTCACAGACATTTCAAAGTCTGCGTCGCGTGTTAACTCAAGAAACCAACGGAAACACGCCAATAGGAAAGTCACGTATTAAGACACTCAATTTTGTTTTCTGTATGACAAACCAGTTGAAGCAGTCAGCTTACAAAGACTGAAGTGAAAAAACGCCCCATAACCTGACAACAAGGAATAGCTTGGCCAGTAAACGCTGAACCAGTAAAGAGGAAACACCACCGGACAGTCGGCTGGAGAAACCGCTCAGACCAGATACAAGGGCCTGGACTGTTCTCACCTTTTTTTCTTTTTTTCTTTTTTAAAGACTAGATAGGCTGTGTGACAGCTGCTGAAGATTACGGAGGCGCAGCCGAGCGCCCCGTCCGCGCGAGGACGGAGGTGGCCAGGGCCGCGCTGCCCAAGCAAAAAGCCTGGAGTGGCCCCAAATTCTCTCAGCGCAGAACAAATTAAACATCGCTCCAGTCTCCACTGCCATTCAAATTAGCTAGGACAGATATTTCCCTCAATCCGCCCCCTAACCATGCTTTATAGAGCTTCCCTTTATTTTTTTTTTAAGTTAGAAAGAAAAGAAAAGAACAGGAAAAAAAAAGTGTAAAAATTCAATTATTTTTTCCTGGCTGCAATCTAAGACTCTGAAATTGAAGCCCAAGCATATATTTTCCTGTAGAAAATTGTCATTTACAAATAAAGAATTGGCTAAAGCCGACTTGTAACTAAAGGATTTAGCAGGGCTGTCAAGAGCCCTCTGCCTGCCAGCATCTGATTTAAGATCAAGCCAAGCTTCTGTTGTCATACAAAAGAGGGAAGAAAGCAATTATTCTGAAGCAATATTTGAAATTATCATCATTTTTATATTTGACCAAGAAAAAAAAAAAAAGAAAGCGAGAGCTACTTCTTTTAGAAACAAGATTGAAGGTTAAAAAAAAGGACTACTTTGTTTCAATAGCTTAAGTCAAAGAAAATATTGGTAATGACAAGCCAATTCACAACATTTTAATACCTAGAGATGTGTTGTGGGCTTGGAAATGGTTTCAGAAATCAGCTCTTTGGTACAGAAGAGAGGCACAAAATTAAGCCTGCTTTTGCAGTCTGCGTTTTCCTGACGAGTTGGTTCAATCGCTTTGTTACACGCGCTCCCGTCCGCAAAAGAACACGGGTCGCTCGTAGCCTCAGCGGGTCTTCCCATCCCGACGCGCTCAAGGCCGAAACTTCGCCGTCCTCCTTTCGCCCGCAGCGCGAGGGACCGACGCGGTGG